CTAACCTGAAATGCCATCGGAAAACGAATCCACATGTTTCTAGAAATGATATGAAATCTAGAAAGGTTAATGCAGTCAAGCTGCTGGAAAATAATTCCATGAAAATCAAAAAATAAATAGATAAGTACTCTTTGATCATTCCCATATTGATTTCAATTTAAGAGCCACCGGTATACAGCTGTTTCAGCCTATTGGGCATCGTCAGTACCGGGCAGGCGGTCCTCGATTGAAGACAAAATGAGAAAAAACCAAGAAAGTACTTAAAAAAAATAGCTGCGTAAACGCAAGCGAAACATAAGTGGAACCACCTATTGGTGTGACACCCAAGTCGGTTGATTGGTCAAATCACCAACACTGACATAAAAACTTGGCAAGTTGACTTGGGTGTCACACCAATAGGTGGTTCCACAACAACTTTTTCGAGCCGGAAGTATCGACTGGTAGAAAGTGTTTGGTTATCGATGAAGAAGTGAAAAATTCTATTAGGTACACTCTTTTAACATAAAAAACGAAATACCTACATTAAATAAAGTTTTGTCAGTTATTCGTGAAGACAGTTTTTTTCCTGATATATGGAAGATATTACATGAGCTGAATTTCACTTTTGGAAAGCAAATTAGAAAGAGCATGTTAATAAAAAAATCAGAGATTGTAGAATGGAGAAGAAACTATTTAAGAGAAATAAAGAAATCCAGAGCACTGGGTGAATCTATTTTTTATTTGGATGAAACATGGGTCAATGAAGGTCATACCGTCTCGAAGGTTTGGCAAGATCAGAATATCAAAATTGGAAGAGAAGCCTTAATGGAAGGTTGGTCCACTGGTTTGAAAGTTCCATTTGGGAAAGGTCGTCGTCTTATCACCACTCACATAGGTAGCAGTGAAGGATTCGTAAAAGATGGATGAATGGTGTTTGAATCGAAGAAAAATGGGCTTTTTGGCTCTTTCCCAAAAACTAATATCTCCTGAAGAATATAACCTTTTCAGTTCCAAACAAGGCCCAGGATGTGAAGTGTACTCCAAATCACTAAGCCTAAGGAATAAGTGGGGAATGGGAAGAAATACCAGCGTGGTCCAAACTGAACTGGCAGGTATCTCAATCGCCACAAAAGAAATTACCAGGAACGGAATTTCTGGCAAAAAACATAACAATCTGCACTGATAGCAGACAAGCTTTATTGAACTTGAACAGACAACGTGTTACCTCAGGGCTAGTACTAGAGTGCCATCAAGATTTAGCCAAAGCATTGGTAGATGACAAATTATTCTGAGGGGGGTTAAAGTGCATGACAGGAGTAAAGGTAGTTGCATTGCCGACTATTTAGCTAAGGAAGCGACTGGACTGAGAATTGTCCTACGGCCTGATGAATTCGACAATTGCGAAACTAGCCACACCCATGCTCAATCCCTAAAGAGATGGGATGGAATCAAAATATGCAATTTTGCCAGGATCACCCTGTGTGACTGGCCTAGGAGGACAATTCCTCGGGAGGATGTACAATGAATAGGTCACATGTAGCCTAAGTGCTGTCGGCCTACACTCGCCTTCCCTGCTCTACAGATACAGAACAGAATCTTTCGAGTTGAAACAATATTCTTGTGAATCCAAGGCGGCAACTCCATGAGAAGTTTTTTCTGTTAGAAAATCTGAGAAGATCCAGAAAGTCGCAGGAAGCATCATTTATGCACAGTTTATTTTTATTCTCATTTTTGTACAAGTTTACGTGAAAATAGAAGTAATGTGCTCACCCTGTGTGAGGATAATGTAGGTTAGATTTTGAATGTGATTCTTTCAATGTTTTCAACTGTGAAATGCTTTTTTTCGACAGAAGATGATCACAAATAATGATCATTTTCACACAAATAAGCTGTCTGGTTCCAATGGAAGAGCCAAGACCAAAAAAACAAGCCAAGTTCGATCAAATGTCAGGGTTTGGGCCACGGTATTCACCAGATTTCGACCCCTGTGACTTTTTCCTGTTTCCAAGATTGTAGAAACCCATGAAGAGATGGCGTTTTGCGGTGATTGAGGAGAGAAAATACAAATCGCTGAAATTCAGCCACTCAGAACTTGTCCAGATTTTTACTACCAATAATTAAACCATTGTGGAAAATTCAAGGCATTTCGTTGAACTACTAGGGGAAATCGAAGTCAAAGAGCAGGATCAACTGATCAGTTTCGACGTGGAAAGCCTCTATACCAACGTTCCTGTCGAAGAAGCACTTACAAATCATACAGAAGAAACTACCTGAAAATGAGGACCTGAAAGATAGAACAAACTTACCAATACAAGTAATCATGGAATTAGTAGAATGCTGTGTACGAAACTGCCACTTCTAGCTGAAAGACGAATTCTTTACGCAAGGTGAGGGACTGCCAATGGGATCGCCATTTTCACCGGTTATATCTAATATATATATATGGAGTGGTTTGAAACTCTGGCCATTGAAGAAGCCCACAAGAGGTCCCGAGTCTGGTTGAGATATGTTGACGACACCTTCATAATATGGAACCATGGGAATACTGAACTAGACGCCTTTCTGGAACATATCAACAGCGTGAGACCTTCCATCACTTTCACAATGGAGAAGGAAATCCACAACGAATTGCCTTTCTTAGCCGTATTGGTGAAGAGGACCGACACTAAATGGGAAACATCTGTATATCGAAAAACCCACTCACACAGGACAGTATCTGAACCAGAAATCCAACCACCATCATTCGACTAAGAGAGGAATCATCAAGACTCTATTAGACCGTGCCTTCGTGCTCTGTAATACAAAGAAAGGTCTGGAGAAGGAACTAGGCATAATCAACAACCACCTTCAACGTGGTAGAACATGCTTTAGCTAGAAGACAGCAAGAGCTCCACAAGGAAAAGAAGCCTCCTCAACCAGTACTTGTACTTCCCTACATCAGAAGATTATCGGAAAGGATACGAAGGAGTGGGAACACTATCCGTAACAGCCTCATGAAAACCAGGCCATCAAACGCGGACTGCGATTCCAAGAAATGCATTTACCGGACACCCTGCGAGTGCGGAGAATCATACATCGGTGAAACTAAGAGGCCATTGAAAGTTCGCATTGCTGAGCACAAGAAACACACACAGCGAGGAGAAACCAGCAAATCCGGAATAGCAGAGCATGTTTGGGCTGATCGACATAATATCAAGTAGGCTCAAGCTGAAATCATCCACAAAGAAAAACACTGGTTTAGGAGAAAATTCAAAGAAGCCGCGTATATTTTGTCCAACAACGCATTTAGTCAAGCTAGTGTAGAGATACGTAATATATGGAAACTTCTAATCAAGCGGAAAACGACCAACTCCCGCCAAACGGTCATCTCCCGCTAAATGCACTCGAATGGTCTATAAATAGTCGGATTTCGGAGGAATAAGTCCAGTTATCACCCGAAGACGATTGTGGATACTAACAATCGAAACGTCGTCACATAACTTGGTTTGAAATCTTTCAATTTTAATTTCACAATTTTTGTTGATGATAATTTTTCATTTTCAGCTTGTATTAATATTTTAACGACTATTTTTTGGTTGTTTTTTGGTTTTATGTTATTTCTTTGTAATTTCAGTTTTTTTTGTTCAAATAAAATTGATATTTTTGGTTAATGTTTTTAATATATATCAGGAATTTCAAATCAATTTATATTATATTAGACAATGGAAGTCCGTACTGATGAAAACTTAAGATATACCAAAAACTGCATTTCAGAAGTGTTTATATCTGAGGGGACTACTTCTAAAGGGACGTTATAGAAGTTTACGAATGCATAAATAGTTTTTGAGAAAAATGAAAAATTATCGTATTTTTCCAATTGACTTCATACAAATTGACATGAAATATTGAAGACTCATTCAATTCTTTGTAAACTGTAAACTGTCATTTTCAGGGTAGATCCGGTTTCAGTTGCTGACCAGGATAATGAAACTACATTTCTACAGGCAAAGGACATTATCGAGGAAGAAAGTAAAGATTGGCCACAGATTATGGCAGTTTTGATTGGTGAGAGCTGATTCAGTAATATAACGAGTGCACGCAACAGAAATATAACATTCATGAAATAAAAAAAAAACAAATCATATGTTTGTAACATTTTTCTGTAAGAGGATTGAGTTCATTTAAAATAATCAATTGAAAAAATGTTAGCATGATTAAAAAAATAGTATTAGTAGAGAGTGGGGGAAATGGATGCTAGCAGGTAGTGGGGGCCACTAGAATTCCCATAGACAGGCACGTCAGTTATATCAGGTGATTGCTATTGGCCGGTTCAGTATCAGGCTCAAAAAAGTGCTAAATCTCGCAAACAAGGTATGTACCTGAGTTTCTCATTCTTGTATCGTATTTGGAGTTTATTGAATGCATAATTTTATAATTTATTCGAAGGATCGATCGCAGCTTGAGAAATGGTTCTTATGCAGATTATGTGAAACATGTTCTTCCTTACGAATCAGTAGAGACTTGTCCTGGAAGTTTTGAGAAAAAAATTGGATTAGATGATTTAGGAAACACTTGCTACATGAATAGCATTTTACAAGTGTTGTTTATGACGAAACCTTTTAAGAACAAGGTTATAATGATGAACGAGAACGAGAATGTTCCCTACTTATTCACTAAACTCAAACACCTGTTCATGCAGCTGAAGTTTCGTAAGAATGTATCATCTTTTCCTCCAACTGATTTCCTGGAGTCTTTGAAGTCCACTAGATACTTAGATACTCGTTAGGACAACAAGAGGATTGTTCCGAATTCTTGGGGTTCTTGTTGAATATTCTTCGTGAGCAAAACAATAGCAGAATCAATACTACTGACCGCTCTGTATTGAATCCCCTATGGATTGAATGATTCCGTACAGTTTATCTCGCCTTATATTTGTAGATCTTTTGCTGGAAAAATCCTCACTTGTTCATTCTGTAATAAATGTTCAAGAGGTAGCAGAAACGTATGTGAATTTCTGAAACTTCATCCAGCGTTTCCTAATCTGACTAATAACCAGTCAATTCAATAATAACACTGATTATCTTCAAACAAGACTCAACCTCTGAGGGAAGCACCAAACTCTTTCGAAGGTTCGAAATTGATGAACAATTCAATCTAGCAGACCACTTATTCATGCAGTAATTGTTCATATTTATTCGATGAAATGGAATAAAAAATTTCTCAGCTACGTCTTTCATGTTAGTTTCATTATTTCGAAACGGTTACCATTGGAGTGAAGCGAGTCATCCACGCTTTTATTACTCCGCCATGTCCCATATTACCCCCTTCAAAAAGCGAAATTCTAACCTAAGCTAATCCGTGTACCATGTTTCACTTCTGTGGATTCCTTGTGGATTCATTTGATTCACGACGTGAACCTTGGATGTTTGTGAACTGGAGTTTCTGTCTGTGTCCACCACAGCGCATTTTAGTTCACGGAAGAACTTTATTCACAAATTTCTTTCCATCCGCCATCCAATAAATATTGTCTTGGATAAAATAATTACCGGCGTAAAGTGATTCGATTAGGTTGTTTTAAAAGTTGATAGAAAAGTGACAGAGAAGCTTGTAAAAACAGGTTGCTAATATTTCTGGAGACCCACAATATACTGAGTAGCTCACAGTTTAGTTTTCAAAGATCTAAAAGCACAAATGATGCTATCTTTGTCTTCCTAGAAGAGTTAAATGTCTCAATAAAGGTGAAGTAGCTGCGGCAGTATTCTGCCACTTTTTTATGGCCTTTGATTGCCTTGATCACAGAGTGCTGTTGGAAAAATTGTTCCTTTATGGGATTAAAAGAACGAACCTTAATTGGTTTCGATCTTATCTTTCGGATATAATTCAATTGGTGAAGTTGCAGAACAAAAATTTTAGTCTTTTGAAAATCACCTGTGGAGTTCCTCAAGGATTAGTGCTCGGTCCCATTTCGTTCCCTATCTATGTGAATGACCTATCTTATATCGACATACAAGGAAAGTTTACAATGTTTGCAGACGATACAACTTCACTATGGCATGGAAATGTTACAGACTCTCTGATAATTACAATTGAAACTGATTTAGAGAAACTCAAATTTTGGTGTGATTCCAATTATTTATGTTTCAGTGTGAATAAAACTAAATACGTTTAAATTTTTTTCGGGAAATCTAAGCCTCCAGAAGTATGTCATCGAAAATAAGACGTGCACCAAATTCTTGGGATTATGGATTGATAATACCTTGAGTTTGATGGACACGTAAAACATTTCAACAAAAAACTTGCATCTGAAATACTTTCCCTTTCCCGGCAAAATGCCAATATACCTCTGCCAAAGCCAACTTCAACATTAACAAAAAATTTCATAATATTCGAGAGTAGGAAGAGATTCAATTATATGTACCATTTGAAATGAAAAGTATAATAGACTCAAATACATTCCGAAAACGTGCGAAGGAAAGCATATTATAATAATAATAATAAATGGGCTTTATTCATTGACATAAATTGTTTATACTGGCTTGACTTCAGATATGTTTTCAACTTTTTCTTGAAATTATATATGAAGTAGCTGGGCAGAGCATTATATTGTTTGATAGAGAAAAGCAGGCTGTCGAGTGTTATATCTTTCATAAATATAGTTTGGCTTTTTGTGAATGAGGAATTTATGTGTATTGACGAGTAGGTGGAACTGCCAGGTAACCAACCTGACTCCTCGAACTTGGGGGATATATGGTCGAATTTTCTCACACCATAAGAAAGACGAATGCAATTGTTTCGTATTTTTTGTAAGCGATTTACATCAGTTTCTATCACAGCAGGCCCGTAGATTATAGCGCAATATGCTAATCTAGACAATATGAGGGTTTCGCAAAGTTTCAACTTGAATTTGGAAGTTGACGTAAGATACTGCATGAGCTACGACAAAGTGAATTTATATGTTTGTGAAATCTCAGATCAGCATCTAGCCATAAACCCAAGTTCTTGCTTTCTGTAATTGTTTGTGGTAATTCTTGTCCAAGTTGGATTTCAATTCTTCCTTCAATTTCCCATCTTTTGTGTTTCGGGCCAAAAAGTATCAACTGAGCTGAGATTCTTCAGGATTCAATTTCAGGTTATGGGCTATAGATAGATCCAGTAACTTTTGTAGATCGCTGTTAATTTTTTCCATTGCCACCTGCCAGTTACTTGGAGGAAATCGATAGTATAACTGAGTGTCATCTGCATAATGATGGACTGTGCAATGATCAATTATTTTATGGAAGTCAGATATATATAGAGAGAACAAAATTGGGCCAAGGATAGAGCCCTGAGGTACTCCATAATCAACAGGTAAAGCATTAGAACACTTTCCATCCAGACATACTGACTGAGTCCGATTTCTGAGGTAAATTTTCAGTAGATTCACAGTCCCTTCACTAAATCCGAGAAATGACATTTTCCTACACAAAATATTGTGGTCTAAGGTACCGAATGCTTTACTGTAGTCCAAGAGTACCATGGCAGTTACTTCATTATTATCAGTTGCTTTGAATAAATCTTGGGTGATGTTGACAAGAGCGGTGGTGATGCTATAGAATGTACGAAATTCAGATTGAACATTTGTTATTAAATTATTATTGTTTACAAAAGAATCAATTTGAGCTTGGAAGAATATCTTGAAGGCAGATTTTGAGTACCTGAACCCTTGAGGTCGAACTGACTGATTTATTTATTTTATCTATACATGTAAATCAATTCTTAACTGCTTTGTAGAATCTTATGTCCTGTCTACATGTAGCGTTAGAATCTATATTGTTCCATTGTTACTGTGAATTGACTGTTTTTTTCAATTTATTTAAGTTTCGTTAATAAGAATGTTTTTCTTTGACAATAAAGTACATTTTTGATTGATTGAGAAAGTTATCCAGGTTCTTGAAAAGATGGTAGTCGGTTGGCGAAAGGTCTGGGGAGTATGGTGGGTGAGGCAGAATTCAACAATAAACAAGTTGAAACTATTTCGTTATATGAGTTCATATATTGTACATTTTCGATTTCCTGTGATTGTTCGAACTTTTTGGTCAGATCAGCCGCTGAACACCATACCATGGTCTTTTTTGTAGGTTTTCGCCATTGGAAAGACAGACAGACAGACAGACAAACATTTTTATTGATCATAAAATCACCAATTTACATCGGGTTGAGAAGTCATAAAATTCAAAAATACAATTGAAAAATAACATGTAGTAATCAGTAAACCCAACAACATTATTTTATTTTATTTTAACAAGCTATATAGGTCTGGTATAGGTCTGTCATCGTTATTCATAATATTACTGTGTTTACTTATTTCTACACTCTCATAGGCATCTAGTTGCCTGTTGTTGTTAATTTGTCTAACTAATCCTTATGAACTGAAGTCTATGGAATGGTTTTTTTGCAAAATATGATGGGCGACTGCTGATTTTTCAGGTCTTCCATATTTTAAGTGTGCTATGTGTTCCTTATATCTTAATTCAATAGATCTCTTTGTCTGTCCATAATATTTTGCATCGCAGTCCTCAGATTCAATTTCGTAAATTCCAGACTTTTCCGAATTTTCGACTTCGTCTTTTGGACTTCCCAAAAGGCTCTGTAGTGTATGACTTGTTTTAAAAACTACCTTCATACCTGGTTCCTTGAAAATCTTTCCAAAGTTACTCGTATATTAATGGTATGGAACTGAGATGTATTTATTTTGGTTTTTGTCCTTTCTGAAAGTCGAGATTACGTTCATTCTTAACCTAAACTTCTGCTTCCTTATTATGTCATATACAATACCCCTCGAGAAACCGTTAGCGGCTGCTATTTCCTGTATTCTACGTCTTTCTTTTGTGAACCTATCATGTGTTAGAGGGAAAGTCAAAAGACGATGCACTAAAAAATTCAACACAGCACTATTGTGCTGTCCACAGTGATGTGAACTGTCAGGAATATACTTGTACGTGCTTTTTTCTTTTCTAGACAAAACGTCAAGAAATGGTAGTTGTCCCTTATTTTCTAACTCATACGTGAATTTTATTGATGGACATCTATTATTTAAAATGGAAACAATGTCGTCAATAGAAGATTTTTTGGTATTGAATATCGCGAATATCATCCACACACCTTAGCCAAATCCTAGAAAAGTACTTCGACTTTTCTTTGGTTTCCATTTCGGGTTTCCCATCAGTTTAGCATTAGTTTCTAGTTTTAATCTTCATCTTTGACGATGATCACTTGGTGATCGAAACACAGATTTCAAACAGATTTTTTTTTAGTTGTTTTTAGTTGTGGAATTATCAGTGATTCCAGTTCATGACTTTCTAGTATGTCACATAGAATTTTTTTTGATAAACCTGCGTGGATCATTGGTGTGCAACCGCTGTCTTCTGTTGTCGTAGAGGATCCACTTTTCATCACACGTAGCGATTCGATTTAAAAAAGGATCGTTTTGGTTGCGCAAAGTCAAACTAGAACAGACTTCGGGACGTGACAATTTCTGTCGATCGTTCAAATCGTGAAGCATCCACTTTTCGAGCTTTTTGGCCATTCCAATACGTTTCAAACTTTCAAAAACCGCATTGTTTCTGACACCCATCCCTTTCGTCTCCTGCACCGTTTGTGATGGGCTAATCTCCACCAGGATCCTCAAATCGTCCTCCTAGATTTACTGTAGGTCGACCTCTTCGAGGATCATCTTAAGAGTCTAAAATCTCTACTAAAACTAACACCGAAAAGTGCATAAATATTTATTGAGATATGTGGCTGAAAACATGACATTTAAACGGACAAAACATTTGAAACAACCTAACAGAGGCATTACAACCAGCTTCAAGTTTGCTATATTCACTTTTTCACTTCGAAAATTTTTTGCCAAAAAAATTATCCTATCAAATTTGTCTATTTCTAGTCATGTGTGTCGAAATAACCAATGAAACCATCATTACACTGATAACTACCCATGGATAGTTTTCACGGGTAGTTATCACTTATGTCATGACATTGCTAAGCAACCAACACAATAAAGTTGTTTGACATTTCAGTAATTCAATTTATTTCGAAAATGTCACTTCCTCGCTTTGGTGTTCAAAATGATGCGGCAATTGACAAAATCATTGAAGAAAATACACCAAGAAATACTGTCAATAGTAAAAAATACACTTGGAAAATATTTATGGAGTTTTGTGACGCCAGAAAATATGAATTGGATGGAAATCGTACTCTCGAAGAGCTTGCATTAATACTCAAGGAATGGGCGATTAATATGAGAAAAAAGGATAGCACAGAGTTTAAGGAGGCTACTGTTAAAACCGTATGGAATATAACAAGCAAATTATTACAAGAAAAGTATTACAAGGAGTATAATATCATGCTAGACCTCTTTAAAAGTGTTGCATTCAAACAAGCGCGGAATGCACGCGACGCAGCACGAAGAAATTTACAAACAGATCCCACTAAACGCAAAACAAGCTCAGTACCATTAACTTCAAATGAAATGAGTAAAATTATAAACTTTTGGGATGAAAATACCCCTATAGGACTCCTACGCAAATTTTATTACATAGCAGCGGTGGAATTGGCTTGGAGAGGTGGTGAAGGTGCTGCTTGCTTAGTTGATTATTTTCATATCGAAAAGGACAACAATGGATCTCCAACTAATAGGATAGAATATAATCCAATTTTCAGTAAAACCTGCCAAGGGGGTTCAAAGAATTGCGCCTCTAGCAAATGGTTAGTTCAAAATAGTGATAACAATGCTTGTCCTGTCAGATTCTTCATTAAATTATTATCAAAACGAGGCACAAATATCAAGACAAATAGACTATTTTTAAGGCCAAATCGTCACTGGAAGACAGGAAGCGATAACTGGTATGACAATATGCCTCTGGGTAGAAATATAATCAACGGATGAACGAAATCTTCTGCTGAAGCAATTGGCTTGGATACGAAACAGAGGAAAATAACCAATCACTCTAATAGAGCAACTGCAGTCAGTCAACTAGCTAAGAGTGGAGTTCAAGAACAGCAATTGTTGAAAATTACTGGGCACAATAATGGAAATTCCATAAAACCTTATTTGAATATTGATCAGGAACATCATAACCAAATAATCAATAGTATGCGTGGAAACACCTATGCAGTAACCGAGGCAAATACTGCAAGATCAACGGAATATCATTATACGAATTGTTCTTTTAATAACTGTGTGTTCAATAAATAATTTTGTTCGAATTGCAAAAAATTTTCTCACCGAATATCCCTCGAACATTGATAAATAACTCATAATTTTATCACAACTTCCTCAAGCACGTTATTTTAGGTAACATCCCTCCGCCTTCGGCGTCGGGATGTTACCAAATAACGTGCTTTCAAAAACTGTGATAAAATTATTTCGTTAGTTATCAATGTCCTTGGGATATTATAGCTGATAAACATCATCTCTGTAACATAGAAACGACACGACCATAAGGAACATCACAACTAATCACATTCATTAATTTTCAGCTTGTTTATCAACTTTATCAAGTGGATTATTCATCGCCTGGCCGTCCCCATTCATAGTGAAGATCACTCAAGATAAGGACAATTACGCCATTAGTGAATATCAAGCTTCCTACTTCACCATCTGGATCAATGTAGGAATCACAGTTTTCTCTCCTTTTTTCACCATTTTCAGTATCCCCGACATTATTGGAAGGAAACGAACTCTTTTGCTAAGTGCATTCCCTCATGTCTCAGCCTGGTTGATGAAAGCATTCAGTGGAAACGTGTATGTACTCAATTTGGCGAGATTCATAGCAGGACTAGGTGATGCAATAATTTTTGCATCTCTACCTGCCTATATAGGAGAAACTACGACACCAAAAGTCAGAGGTGTGTGGGGAAATAGCTTGATTTGTTCCTTGTTTCTGGGACAGTTTCTGATGAACGTCATCGGTGCTTACTGCAGCGTCCAACACACATCTTTCATCTGCTTGACAGTTCCAGTGATATTCCTAGTATCATTTTTAAAAATGCCAGAGTCCCCTTATTTTTATCTGATGAAAGGAAGAGAGGGAGAAGCAAAGAGCGCTCTTCAACGATTAAGAGGTACCAATGCGGTTGACGGGGAATTAATGAAATTGAAAGTTGCTCTGGAAAGGCAGATGTCTGAAAATGGTACTTGGAAAGATCTTATTATGATTAGGAGTAACAGGAGAGCTCTGGCAGCTGCAGTATTTCTTCGGGTATCTCAAGTTACAGCTGGATTTTACGTTTTTGCTTCATATACTCAGTTCATTTTCGAAAAATCAGGTGGCAATGTGAGTTCTGAAGTTTCCTCCATTATTTACATCGGACTGAGTTTTGTTCTGTTCTCAGTTGGAGCCTATTTTTCAGACAAATTCGGTAGGCAGAAGTCATATATGATTTCGTTATCTCTTACATCTGCGGTACTCTTTTTGGAAGCCGTTCATTTCTACATAGACGCGAAACACTCAGAACTGAATATGGAATCGATCAAGTGGTTTCCTCTAGCAGGAATGCTCGTTTATATAATATTTTCTTCCTTTGGAGTGGGTATCATTCCCACTTTGATGTTGGGAGAATTATTTTCTGCAAGTGTTAAATCGAAGGGAGTTGGTGTTGTAACTACTCTCTTTGGACTTTTTCTATTTGTCGGTAATTATATATTTTACCTCATTAACTCCTACACTGGCCTCTACGGACCGTTCTTACTTTTCGGGTGCTGCACTGTCATTTCGGCTATAGTCACGAATTTCATAGTTCCCGAAACGAAAGGTAAATCTCTGGAAGAAATTCAGCAAATATTAAAGGGAAAGAAGGCTGCAATAATCTAAAAATAAAATTTTGTCATACTAGCTGTTCCATTTATTCCAATGATTTCCTAACAGTCCCTGAAATACATTTCAATTATAGGATATTCACGTTAAGAAGAGAATGACGTCACAAGATGACAAGTTACGGCGTTGCCAACATGTGCACTATTTCAAACTTTCAAATTTTTTTGTACTGTTAATTTGCTTTATTGCTATTGACCTCACTAACTGATAATTCACGCTAAAGAAGCAGTCGCTGCTATTTTCTGTGATCTATCGAAAGTTTTCGACTGTGTCAACCATGAGATCCTTCTTAATAAGTTGCAACAGTATGGCTTCAGAGGCAACACTCTCCACTGGTTTCATTCGTACTTATCAGGTCGCAAACAGGTAGTTAAGACAACCCAGTGTTCCTCTGCTCAAACTATTAAATGTGGTGTACCACAAGTATCGATCCTTGGCCGAGTGAATGTTTCTTTCTTATGTAGATTTTTGTATCTTACATATTATTTATGACTTTGTCTACAAGATGTAGTTCTTCAGACAATAAAGTATATTTGATTGATTGATTGATACACGCAGGTCTTGTCAAAAGAAATTATTAGTTCTGAAAAGAAAATAAAGACTGACAGTTTTCGAGTTTTTTTCGATTCGGCAACATCTGGAATTTTACTATCAGTTGAGTAACTCACGAAATAAAATTTTACTAGTTTCATTGCTACTGAACGGGAAATTAAAGTTATTATGTTGGATATACAAAATTACCAAAAATGACGTCATTCTATTCTTAACGTGAATATCCTATATACAGTGTCATCCCCAAAGTATGCACCATATGGGAAACTTATTTATTGAGGGTTTTTCGACAGAAATTTATTCTTGATAAAAGTTTGTGCATCCCCTAAAATTATGCATGCACCAACAAAATACAGTACAACATGGGTAATAAATGACGAGCCTTCAAATATTTGATTTTGTGACAGAAGTAAAGTACTCTTATTTCGAAAAATCTCGATAAATGTCTAAAAAAGTAAAGTATTTCATCAGTTCGGACTTCCATTGTCTAATATAATATAAATTGATTTGAAATCCCTGGAAGAATATGTGCAAAATTAAAAAGATTTACCGAAAAGTAACAAATTTCTAAAAAAGAAACTGAAATTACAAAGAAATAACATGCAAGCAACAACCACAAAAATAAAAAAAATTTGAAATATTAATACAAGCTGAAAATTAAAAAATATTATTATAAAGTGATGTCCAAGTTATGTCACACGTTTCGATTGTTAGTATCCACAATCTTCAGGTGTTAACTGGACTTATTCCACCAAGATCTGACTATTGATAGGTCATTCAAGTGCTTTCACCTATCCCCTCTACCCTCTCTCCGCTTCATTGGTTTTAGCGAAAGATGACTATTTGGCGGGAGTTGGTCGTTTTCCGCTTGATTAGAGGTTTCCATATGTTACGTATCTCTACGTTAGCTTGACTAAATGCATTGTTGGACAACATATACGCGGCTTCTTTGAATTTTCTCCTTAAAATTCCTCTTTGTGGATGATTTCAGCTTGAGCCCACTTGATATTATGTTGATGAGTCCAAACATGCTCTGCTATTCCGGATTTGCTGGTTTCTCGTCGTTGTGTGTATTTCTTGTGCTCAGCAATGCGAACTTTCAATGACCTCTTAGTTTCACCGGTGTATGATTCTCCGCACTCGCAGGGTATCCGGTAAATGCAATTGCGCCTTGGAATCGCAGTCCTCGTTCGGTGGCCTGGTTTTCGTGAGGCTGCTACGGATAGTGTTTCCAGATCTGAAGCAGGTCCTGATGTTATACTTGGACTCAATCCTTCTCATCCTTTGATCCTCTGATGTAGGGAAGTACAAGTACTTGTTGTGGCGGCTTCACTTCCTTGTGGAGCTCTTGCTGTCTTCTAGCTATAGCCTGTTCTACCATCTCTCTGGAGTAGCCAAGAAGATCTTTTTTGATGATGCCTAGTTCCTTTTCGAGTCCTTCCTTTGTATTACAGAGCCCGTAGTAGAATCTTGATGATTCCTCTCTTAGTCGATTGATGGTGGTTGGATTTCTGGTTCAGATACTGTCCCGTATGAGTGGGTTTTCGGTATACAGATGTTTCCCACTTAGTGTCGGTCCTCTTCACCAAAACGTCTAAGAAAGTCAATTCATTGTGGACTTCGTTCTCCATTGTGAAAGTGATGGAAGGACTTACGTTGTTGATGTGCTTCAGGAAAGTGTCTAGTTCTGCATTATTTTTCTTCATATTCTTTCAGGGATTTCAATTCGATTTATATTATATTAGACAATGGAAGTCCGAACTGATGAAGTACACCACGAAACATTCCCAACCACCTTCAAACAAACAAAGAGTACTCTTATTTTGAAAAATTTCGGAAAATGTTGTTTAGAAAAGTTGTTCAGCATTGAAGAATATATCTAGATTTGAAGTTATGGCCATCCAAGTGGAGTTTCATTTTTATACCCATTTATTTTTAAATGGGGACTAGGAAAAAAAATTGCTGAAATGATAAATAGACAGCATCCTGTATATGTTCATTTCAAAAGACTATAATATTACAAATTACACAACTATAGTGTTAACCACGGTGAATTGTTTTGAAAAATTAATTTTCAAAGTTTTGGTGCAGTTATTTTTATTTTTTGTAAACACGAAAATTACCCAAAATTATACAGTGTCACAATAAGAACTTAATATTCAATAATATCAAATCACCCAACATCAAAATAAAACAGGCATTTCGGAACAAACTCATTGATTTACTGAAGATTCAACTCGAAGCACTTATTTTGGACAAGTTCAGAAATATCTATTTTATTTTGATGTTTTGCGATTTGATTTTATTGAATATTAAGTTTTTGTTACAATACTGTATAATTTTGTTGTGTAATTTGTGATATTACAGGCTTTCAAAATGAACCGTTGTATACAGGGTGCTGTCTATTTATCGTTTTAGCAAAAATTTGTTTTTCGTATTCCCCATTTTGAAAAATGGGTAAAAAATAAAACTTTACTTAGATGGCCATGACTTCAAATCTGGATGTATTTTTCAATGCTAAACAACTTTTGTAGATAACATTCATCGAGGTTTTTCGAAATTAGTGTACTTTACTTCTGTCACAAAACCAAATATTTGAAGAAATAAATGAATCGAAGAGGTTTTGTATTAAAGTGTATAATATTTTAAATTTCTTGCAAAGAGCTTTCGACTTTCGTCATCATCAGTGCTCAGTATCATATGATACTTTGACCGAACCACATGGCCTCAATCCAAAAATGTATTTTCTTGGCTATAAGCCTATTTTGTTTTATATAATTCAAATATTACAAATGTACAATTCACTTATTTTGATACTTCCTGTTGCCTGACAAGTGAGCACTGATGATGACGAAAGTCGAAAGCGCTTTGCAAGAATTTTAAAATATTATACACTTTAATACAAAACCTTTTCGATTCATTTATTCAAATAAGTGTATTCAGCTTTTCCAAATCCTTTCAAATATTTGAAGGTTCCTCGTATATTACGTGTGTTGTACAGCATTTTGTTGGTGTATGTTTAGTTTTAGGGGATGCATAAACTTTTATCAAGAATAACTCTTTGTTGAAAAACCCTTATTAAATAAGTTTCCCATATGGTGCATACTTTGGGGATGCCATTGTTTCAACAAATACCAAGACATAATTATGAAGTAATGAGAAAGTAGAAATCTTTAGGTTTTGTACTACTCCATTAGTAAACATTCTTTCAAAGGATTTCCAAGAAGGACTATAAGACTCAATAATAATAGATCGGCTTTATTGATACAAAAAACAATATAAAGATACATGAGAAAAAGGTACAGGATATTTTGGTACTCATCGGCGAAGTCTAGCTCAGGGCTACTCAAACTCAACCAACAAGCACCACTCCATAATGCACGCGAATATACAGAAACAAAAAAATTAACAGTGATGGTACCACTAAAAAAGAAAAATAAATAAAATATCAATTTGTGATATCCGCTAACGAGAGTTGGTAAATCAAATCGACTGCTTGCAAAAACTGACATTACTGACTATCATAAATATAACTTTTATATTTGTAGTTGAATTTTCTGGTATTGAATCTCTTCAGTTGCTCAGGTAATGAATTGTAGAGTTTGACAGCACCAACAAAAAATTATATCTGAAACTGTGCAATGCGATATCGTAGCATAGTTGATTTGCTTTCATTTGTAATGTTTATTAAGTGGATATTTTGTTTCAAAAACGTTTTCTATCCATCATTTCTAGAATCACTGCAATTGTTTATGTCCGGATTATAACTTTTCGTATATTTTCTTGGATGTTATCATGAATATCATGAGATATGCGTATTTGAATATGTGGTAGCAAGAATCAACTGTTGATAACTAGCCTATCATACATTCTCACATGCATCATTAACAAAATACAGAGGACATATCAATATTGCAAAATAAGCATCTTTGACTCGAAACTTATAACGTGACAATCTCTCAAATCCGCATACGTTATCACTATTTTAAATTTGTATTAATTTGTATTTGAGTACCACATCGTTGATTAATGAGTTTGTCGGCTTATAATTTCTTTTTGAAATCAGTGATATCATAGTATACCAATAATCTGAATAACAAAGCGGGAGTCTTGTTGACAATATATCGTACTCAGTTGTTTCGTTACATTGTTCAAGCGACAACGAGAAGTCTGATCATTTCGGATATCAATTTCTTCAAGTAAACATCATTTTATCGTTGGCAATGGCTTACTTCAGTATGGGGTGAGTAGTAATTTTTCTGTTATTGCTTTATTCTGAACAGGTAGAACTACCCAGAACAACTCAATTTTTATATACCTCAGGTACATACTCAATCATGGTTATCTAAATTATATTCATCCAACAAACAAAGCAACCCAAACAATGATAGATGCGTGCTCAAAACATGATCACCACGCACATTTGCATCTATTGGGTGAGATAAACAAGCCTCCTCACCCAGGCCAATCAGATTTAAATGCAATCGGCTAGCGAAATTCAATGTTACAGTGTCAGTTACATATACGGTATTTTGAAGTTTGAATTTAAAAAAATATCAAGTACTAATACGGCTAAAGAAACTGCTAGTTTGTGTCCCTACATTTCACCTAAACAAATTCCTATACCCAGCCGCATATTATTAAAAAACAAATGAAATTTCGGTCGTTCCTTAGTACGACTCTGTACAAGCAGCCTTGTCTAGAGCACTCCGTTGCTTAGTTGGACAGAATATGGAGCATATATCACTTCTACATCAATAATAATATGTCTACGAAGACTAGGATAATATCGGTTTCTAAAAAAAAAACAGGTTCAGTAATAGTTATCAATGTTTCCAAATGATTTAGCTTCAAACCTTGATTTTTATGTGCAAAATTCAATAATCTCCGTTAAAGATATGATTTTCTTCTCAATAATGATTTGAATATGTTGAACTTGTTTTCTTTTTTTATATACCTTATTTGATGTTCCTGCATGCGATTTCTAAATGACCTGTCGGTTTGACCAATGTATACCTCAGAACAAGTTGTTAATGCTGAATGATATACCTAGCAGGTAGAATTTGAAAAACAGTTACAACCTGCTGGAGTGTACTCAAATAATATAGTGCTTATGATGCTCTGTTTGGAACCTTTTGTTTGTTGTAGGTAATGAATTGTTGGTGTAGTAATGAATATTACTGGGGTTTTTTCTCAACACCAAATCGTTATTTTCAACACTTCGACACGTGTCCCGATCACCAAGTGATAATCTTCAAGAGGAAGATTAAACAGATTAATCTTCCTCTTGAAGATGATCAGTTGGTGATCGAAACACGTGAAAATAACGATTTGGTGTTGGGAAAAAACTTCAGTAATATATATTGTGCTTATTGTTTTCTACTCTTATTTTATCTATCTTCATGGCCCGGAATTTCCCAACTTTTCCAAGTCGAAAAAACAGCGAAAAGTTGGGAATTTTGTAAAATTGTCACTTCAAAATTTGTGGACTGTTCAGGACTGAAGTAATATGTGAACATCTATTAATCGAATCAGTTAAAAACATCAACTGGAATGAAACCCTTTCGTATCAACAGGATCTTGATTTTGTAACAGATAAATTCATAGCTACATTAAATGAATGCATACAGAAATCAACAAAGAAAATAAAAATCAAAAATAATGAAAGAAAGAGAAATAAATGAATCACGAAGTCCATCATCGAATCAGTCAACAAAAAAAATTATATGTATCTTAAATGGAAAACATCTCCAAATGATGAAGTACTAAAACGTGAATATATGAAAATGAAATATAAAGTTGAACAATTAATTGAACAGGCAAAAAAAACTATTACATAAAACATGTGGAGAAAGAGAAAAATGAATCTAAAAAACTTTGGCAAACGGTAAATGAAATACTAAAGATCTCACATCAAAGTAAAATAAATGAGATACAAAATGGAAATGGCGATTTAATCAGTGACCCTGAGCAAATGACGAGGTTATTTAACAAGTATTTCATAGAAGTGGGAAAAGATTTAGCAAAAAATATTACTACAAATCAAAATTATAGAAATGAAAAAAAAANTTATATGTAACTTAAGGATTTATTTTTATCTATTTTTATTTATTACATTTTATATTTTATGTCATATCATTTTATTATTGTATTTACTTAATATTATTATTCGTTCCGATATATGTATTTCGTATTTTATTATATATTTCTTAATATTTTTAAATTTTTTAACCACACACAGGTTTGTAACCTCAGTGGGATTTTGAATTTATTCTCAAATCACTTAAAATTGTATTAATTGTTATTCTTACATTCTAAGTCTTAAAATAAATAGTATGTATGGTTTCCATTTCATATTTGAGAATAAATGATTTGATTGAACTCAGAATTTCAAAGTTTGGGATCTCCAAGTTATGCATGTTGGGAAATCCCAACCTTCTCCCGGTTCTTTCCCTTTTCTTATTACCTTTCCCTTTCTTTTCTCTCATGACAACCATACGTGACAAATGTGCGTGTCACGCATCTATCATTGTTTGAGGGAAAAAAAGGAAATATTATATTGCATGGCGGCAACACTGTACACTGGACGACGCCGATATATTAGAGTGAAAATGGAGTGAAATTTCTATTAGTGAAATTTCAAAACACAATTTTGTCAGTCTTGATACATTTCGCAATAATATTCAAAATATTTATATCCTTATCAGTTTCACATGGATTTGATTGTTTTATGAACATTATTAACTAGGGAACAAGATTCAGTACATTACCAGGATAACGAAATGACGGTTCTATTGAAAAAAAACGGAATATCCAAGGATAACGAAAAGGAATGGCGACAGATTGTAGCTGTTTTAATTGGTGAGAATTCAGTGTGAATCAGTAATAATAATTATTATGATAGCTAGTTGTGCTCAATTATATTGATTTCTGAAAATGATGTGTTACATAATCACAGGGTAAGTTACTTCTGCCTTTCAGCATCATTCAAGATGTAGGAACTTTTTATTAATACAACGATAAAAATAAAAACACGGGGCGACTTCATTGAATCCAGTGGCGCATTTGCTTTTTCAGCTGCAGGAAAACCCGGAAAAACCTGCAGCACCAAATTATCTGAAGATCTCGATCTGCCAATGTCCTCTCTCTTATGAAACAAAATGTAGGGTGTCTCCAGAGGCTCCAATAGATTCAGTGCATCGCCAGAACACTTCGTGACATAACTATCGTCAAACTTAAACCAGTCCGTTTCGTGTTTGACCAAGGCGTAATGATGACCAAATTCAACGTCAGAACCACAGTGAACAATGACTGCATGAATATTATGATAGTGGTGTGCTAGATTGAAATGTTCATCTATTTCGAACCTTCCAAAGAGTTTCTTGCTTTCGTCAGAGGTTGAGTCTTGTTTAAAGATCATCAGTGTTTTTGGGAAAGAAAGTTTTTGACTTTCTACTACTCCATCTTGATACAAAAAAAAGAAGGATGAGGGAGTCTTCCAAAGAAAGGAAGGAAGTAACTCTATACATGGATGTGTAGATCATGCAAAGAACTAACTTTCAGACACAAACTGAAAGAAAGTCCTCCTGAAACAGCTAATTTCATATAAACATTGAATTATACGAAAGAAAAAATTCTTTCGAAACAAATACTTCTATATGAACACTGAATTATATAGAAGATACTTTTCTCTACTCAGTTTGTAGAGGAATCTTATTTGGCCTCTTGAATATATGTCGAACAAATTTAAAGATAATGTGACAAAGCCAGCCTTGATGGACAACGGAATGCAACGAAGAATCATCACGCAAAAGTTTAACGAAAGGCGGGTGGAAATCAAAGAAAGTACTAAATAAAAAAATCTCCCAGATTATTTGAGGTTTTGGCGGGCATTTCAAAAATCCTTTTAGCCCATGAATATACACTAATAGCAAGCTAAGTAAACCGGTGAAGTAAATGAAAAGAAGAGTGTTTTTTGTTTATTGTTTCGAATACGACGTTTAATATAAAGGGAAGTTATTATTTTCTTATTTCCTCAATAATATTTCAAATACGTCATGTGTACCAGAAAATTTCAAATTTTTGCTATTATTTTCATTTCAGCATTTTCGAGATTCAGTTTCAGCCTCATAGCAATATCTGTTATAATTTTCATTGATAACACATATTACATTTCAAGGTCTCAGAGATAGAATTTGAACAAACATACTTTTGTTAACGAAGTAAAAATGTTCCATATTCGAAAATGAATGTCGTAATGGTAAGATCCTTGATTTTTATTGGAAGGTAGTTGAAATCATTTACCCTTCGTGAAGTTTGCGATTTGTTTGCAAAAGAGGTGCAAAGGAATTGAATTTATGGTATTCCTGAATTTTACCCCATTCTCTCAATATGGGGCATCTCTATAAATAAATAATCATCCGTAAGAAGAGTCATTCAAAAGTTTCAAAAACGAATCTAATACACTACTGTACAAAATCAAGAAACTTATCGAGTTCCAATATTGATTGAAATCCCAGTGTTTTTATTGGATAAGTAATTTGTGCCAAAGTTGACGTGATGCGATATTTATGAATTTTTGGACGATATCAACAATTCTGTCTTAAAAATACTTGATTATGTGAGGTTCGTCGAAGTAAATAAATTATTTGTTTTCATGAGAAATGGGATTTTATGAAATCTATTTAATTTTTTTTTCAATTTGCAGTGATGAAATATCAATTCAAAGTTTAGAAAACGAAGGCATTCAGTTATTATTCCTAGTTGTTTCTCTTTTTTTATTTTCGAAGTATCGTATTATTCAATTAATCAGAACTTAATGTAACACCTCATTTTCTTGAAAAAGAATTATTTTAAAGAGAGTTTGATGTTTTGCCAAAAATCTTTCATTTCTTCCATTATACAGGGTGTAACTGAATAAGTGTAAAACATTCAAGGAGGTGATTCCTCATTGAAAAAAAAAGGATCTTTCATATAAAGAAACTTCATTGGAGCATCCCTTGTTAAAGATACAGCCCCTTGAAAGGGGTACATAAAATTTGTATAACAGTTTTTTTCACAAGCACTGAAAAAGTTACAATATTGAAATTAACCAGATGTTTTGTACTACCAAAAAGACACATAGTCAGTAATTTATTTGGTTTACCCCATGGCTGTAAGGGGTGGAAAACGATTTCTGATACCCTGTTTCATTCTGAACAAAAAATGTCTCTTAGGTTTTTTGTCCAAAATAAACCAGCTCGCAGCAAAAATTATTTTACGAACAACTTCAGAGATACATCGTCATAAATGCGAAAATACGAAACTAATCTATCTAGTAGGTCGCTATTAGCGATAGTGACAATTAAATTGGTATGACGCTGTCAGTTTGTGAATTTTCGAAATTGAATTGATAGTAATTGTGTGTTGTTGTTCTGTTGTTGATTTGTTACTTTAATAATTCACTTGTTATTAAAATGGCATACACAAATGAGGAAATGGCTGATATGCATTACGTTTACGATCTATCGCAGGAAAATGGGTTAGAAGCTTCTAGAAGATATTCTGAAATGTATCCTCAACGGCAGCATCCTTCGCATAGAATATTTGCTCGACTTCATCAACGATTACGAGAATATGGTTCATTCGGCAAAAGAACGCAGAATTGTGGTCGCCACCGAGAAGTAGGAACACCACAGCTTGAGGAAGCAGTACTTAATTTGATTGAAGAACAACTTACTACCAGTACTAGAAAGATTGCTTTCCAGCTAAATGTTGATCATATGACTAAATTTCTGGCTAAGTGTCCTTTTGGTAGTACAAAACGTCAGGTCAATTTCAATATTGTAACTTTTTTAGTGCTTGTGAAAAAAATTGTTATACAGATTTTATGTACCCCCTTGAAGGGGCTGTATCTTAACAAGGGATGCTCCAATGAAATTTCTTTATATTGAAGATCCTATCTTTTTTTCGATGAGGAATCACTTCCTTAAATGATTTACACTTATTCGGTTACACCCTGTATGTATAAGTAAAAAGATTCCCCCAGATTGATTCTAAACATGAGTATAACACTAGACACAAAAATAACTTTATAGTGCCTTTAAGAAAACTTAGAATAACTTAAAATGCCCCAAACTTCAGGGCTCCAGAAATATTTAATTCGATCCCGGAAAACATAAAAAATAATAGATTTTCTAGTGTAAAATTGCTTTTACTCCATAGAACATCACTTCTGAGGGAATATTTTTTTTCTCATCGATTTATGTACTTATTTGCTTTTGATTATCTGTTATATATACCCGTTTGTATGTTTTTTATGCGGTGTTTGCTATTCGTTTGTTGATGGTATATGCACTTTGTATAAAACCCTTCCTTTGACTTTTTCCATACAGCCTGTACTGTCTCAAGGAAATAAAATCATATTATCATTATAAACAAAAATATATTGCAAGTTTTTTTCATTTTTATCTGATATCATCTCCCACAAATAGTTCTCAACACTGAATTATTATTTCAGCGTCATTAACTGCTCTGACGAGTGGATTTCATGTGGCCTGGACGTCCCCGTTCTTGGTGAAAATAGCTGAGGATGAAGAATACAACATAACCGAGAGTCAAGCTTCCTATTTCACGATTCTGAACACAGTTGGCATAGTCCTGTTATCTCCATTTCTGTCTGCATTCTCTGTTACCGATACAATTGGTAGAAAACGTACGTTACTGTTATCCGCCGTTCCTCATTCACTAGCATGGATACTGGAAGCCTTCAGTAAAAATTTGTACGTGCTCTATGCTGCCAGACTGTCAGCAGGATTCGGCGATGCTCTGTACATTTCTGCTCTCCCAATTTATATCGGCGAAGTAACTACACCTAAGGTCCGAGGGGTGTGGGGAAACAGTTTGATATGCATGTTGTTCTTCGGCCAGTTCCTCATGAACATAATCGGAGCTTTCTGCAACGTTCAAGAAACCTCATATATTTGTCTGATTGTCCCAGTAATATTTATAGTCATCTTCCCATTCATACCAGAAACCCCTTACTTCTACATCATTCAGAAAAGAGGCGAAGAAGCGAAAAAGTCTCTGCGAAGATTGAGAGGAAAGCAGAATGTTGAAGAAGAGTTCAGGATGCTGGAAGCAGACGTTCATAGACAGATGTCTGAGTCAGGTAAATGGAAAGACATCCTGGTCATTGACAGCAATAGAAAAGCATTAATAGCAGCAGTATTCCTGAGAACTTCACAACTGTTTTGTGGATTCTACGTATTCACGTCCTACACCCAATTCATTTTCGAAAAGTCTGGAGGGAATGTTAGCAAAGAAACGTCATCCATTATTTACATGGGTGTGAGTTTTATATGTTTCTCTGTAGCTTCCTTCGTTTTGGATAGGTTTGGTAGAATCAAATCCTACATAATTTCTTTGTGTCTGTCGTCCACCATGCTTCTTTTGGAAGGCGTTTATTTTTACATCAATCGGTACCACCGCGAAATCGATTTGACTCCAGTGAAATTGTTTCCTCTTTCAGGCATGCTCCTTTTTATATTATTCTGCGGTTTTGGGGTAGGAACAATACCAACACTAATGTTGGGAGAATTATTTTCAGCTAGTGTGAAAGCTAAGGGAGTTATTATCGTCACTGTGCTGTTCGCACTAACAGTGTCTTTTACTAATTATATATTCTACCTCATCAATTCTTACACAGGCTTATGTGGACCGTTCATACTTTTTGCTTGTTGTGGTTTTTTATCGGCTATTTTGACGAACTTTCTTGTTCCCGAAACAAGAGGAAAAACTCTGGAAGAGATTCAACAAATACTCAAAACCGGCTTTCGATGATCTGTATAGCTTTCTCAGTATTTTTGTGAGCATGTGCAAATGTTTATTATGTCTTGATTTTTCAATAACATCAGTAGGAATGAGTGAGGATGAATTCTCTATAGTCAGTGTGATTCTACAAGTTCCAAGTAGAATTAGTTCAATCATCGACAATTATTTAACTGATTTGTTGAACACATCAAATAAATAAGTTCAAATGGAAATGTAGAGATTTGCACAGATTGCTCCGATATTATTTATATGTGTATTGTTCAAAAAGAATAAAATGTCAAAATTTAATCTTCATTTTATTTGACCTCCAAATCACTACAAACCACGTTAATAAATGATAATTTCAACCGCTTTCTGTTCAATGAAGATTAAAAAAAAATAAACAGTTTGCAAAAGTGTTTTTTTTAATTTAACAATTCTTGTTTCTCTACACATTTAAATTTCGAGACATATATCAACATAATAAATATAGTTTAAAAAAAATATAGTGTTTTATAGTTTTTTGAAACTATATTTATTTTTCACTTTTTATTTATTGTCAAAAAACATAATAAACTTTGAGGTCCTAAATTCCATAGTGATACTGAGATGCAGGTAAAATTTATTTCGAAGTAAAGAGAAAATTTGCAGTAATACGAGAAATTAAAAAAAATCAGTCTCGATGTTTTGATTTGAAGTTTAATTCAAAATATTAATGGACTCAGAATAAGTGGAGAAAAGTTGTAAATATTCTGAATAGATCAAGCGATAGATTAGATTAGAAAAGACATATACTTTATTGTCCAAGGAAATACAATCTTATTGACAAAGCTTGTATTTATAGCACTTCAAAGAATAAGAGAAAAGAAACAATTCAAAAACACAAATACACAGAAACACAATTTGAGCAAAACTAAATTCACATATCTAATAAATAAAATATAACAATAGAAAATGAAATTTAACAAATTGTAGACAAATAGTTTGTATAGTCCCTTTCGAAAGATGTAAATAACAAATATATACAATTTAAACATAAGTTCACGTGCCATGGCAATAAAATAATATATATCCTAGTATAAAATATAATTTAAAGTATAGGTGTCAATATAAACAACGAAAAAACACCTATATTAAATCACAGCAAAGTTCCATTGTAATATTCATCAAGATTGTAGTACGTTTTAGTTGCAAGGGCATCTTTAACAAGATTTCTGAACTTTTCATAGCTTTTTTCCTTCGTAATTTCGTAAGGTATGTGATTATACAGCTTTTAACTTTCATAAATCAAAGAATACTTTGGCTTGTTTTTGGAACAGGAAGATGTATTTTATTTTCAGTTACTTGCCGGGTTATGTAATTTGTAGGTTCCGGAGTTCCAACCATGATATGTTTTTTGTAAATCAGGCAAACAGTTTCAAGTATGAAAATACAAATAGCAGTGAGAATTTTTTCTCTCAAAAATAATGGTCTGCATGACTCACGTACTGCCACCTTGCATAAGTATCTAATCGCTCGCTTTTGCAAAACAAATACTGAATGAAAAAGTTGTTGACTGCAAAATCCCCAGAAGGCAACACCATATCTCATATCGGGACTCAATCAGGGAATGATATATCATTTTTGTTGTGGATGAACTCAGTTCATTTGAAACTATTCAAAGTGCATAACATCCTGATGCTAATTTTTTATTCAGAGCTGAAATATGCTGATCAAATTTCAATTTGTTATCCATGAAGATTCCCAGGAATTTGGATTAATTTTCATTCTCAAGAATTTGTCCATTCAAGTATACATTGTTAATATTACAGCTGAAGGTGGTAGGTTTGTTTTTTTACTATTAAAGCATAAGTAGTTTGCGTCACACCATTTTTTCACAACTTCTAAATCACTACAGATAGTTTCTTTCATGTTAGAAGTATTTTTTCCATGCCAAAGGAGCGTGGTGTCATCCGCAAAAAGTAAAACTTCCTTGAATTCAGAGAGTCACCAGGTCATTTACATAAATAAGAAAAAGAATTGGTCCTAGTACTGATCCTTGTGGTACGCCCCATAAGATATTATTCGTTTGTGATAGTTTTTCGTTTGATCTTACTAACTGTTTCCTATCACTTAAGTAAGACCTGAACCAGTCATTACACACTCTTCTCAAGCCATTGTAGTTCAACTTTTGCAAAAGAAGTTCATGATTCACACAATCAAAAACTTTGGAGAAATCGCGGAATACTGCAGCTACGACCTCACCACTGTTGAGATGTGTGTAGACATGTTCAAGAAAGAAAAAGTTTCCATCATTTGTGCCTTTTACCTTCTGAAAGTCAAATTGACAGTTGGTTAATATATTGTATAATAAGTACAGCGCCATCTGCCCGCGAATATATCAAGCAATAATGTAGATGATTCTGTCAAATACAGTTCCCCAGCTTGAGAGTTACAAACAAACATACATACAGGTGAAACTAATATAAAGCGTGTAAGAATAGATAAAAACTCACTATTCCCACAAAAAGGGGTTTTAAGCAGTACCTTGCATGCCTATACAGGCAAATGTATACATATGTTATCTCTTGCCGCAATCATTATTAACGATTTAATAGCTCATTGTGATTCTCAAGCATGGAATAGATGCGATGTAATGGTCTGCAAGATTTCAGATATAGAAAACGTTAGTGAAACCATTAGTAAATTTCAAGAAGTTTTAATTATTTGGCTGGTATGCCGGGGCCCATGGAAACTGAAGTACCAAATTTTCGTCTGCAACTGCGGCAGATACCATCAATGGCATATGCGTTAACTGCGAGGTTATTGCTCGAAGTCTCATCTGAGTCGTTGCTGAATTCTCGTTCCTAAAACTAGAGACAAAACATCGAAAAAGATGCAGCAAATATTCAATAATGGGTATTGACAGTAACTAATGGATTATTGAGATGAAGAAAGCTGAAGAACACAAAGAGTGAGTGAGTCAAATGATTTGTGACGTCCATTTATAATTCCCGTGGAAATGAACGGATCCCTTTCTGTTCACCACCCATTGGTGAAATGAAAACTCGCAAGTTAATGCCTTCAAGCAAATATAATGTTCGTCGTGGAAGACAGTGTAATATTTACAAAGAAAATTCATTAGGTGGGTGTGTTCAGAAGATGTAAGAGGACTTCGTAATTGCATCCGAGCCTCAAACACCATCTTGAAATATGCATCAACTCTCGTTTTATCATCGTTAAGTATCTGGAGTAATTATGTATTGGTTAAAGGGGCTCATAATTTACATTCACAACTCCCTATTTTTGTCATGTCTTCCTGCTCTTGTAGGCATGGGTGTCGATAGAATTTTCTATTGTCAAAAGGTCTGTGTTGCCGAAACTTTTCGCAGTATTTTCACTCATTGGTTACTTCTGGTTTCACCGAAAACGGCTCTAATTTTCAATGAAAACGCCCTGAACGTTTTAACAGTCACGTAATGACAGTGAATTAAATTTTATGGGCAGGCAGTAAGAGTTTCTCAATTTTCGTTAAATTTCAGTACCAATTTTCGTCGAAATGACTCAAAATGAGAAAGTAGATATTGCAATAATATTTGAAGAATGTCACAAAAATGTCCCATCATTTAATCAACATTATTGTATTTTACGGCAAATCGCTACTCACAAAAAAGTCATGTTCAATAAACAAAATATTCTCAATCAATAAAACATTCTATGGTTTGAGTTATTGCAACCAATGTTCAACACACTGGCCTGCTCGCTTACCAGATCTCATTGTGCCGGATTGTCCAATGGTCAACTATGCAACAGCTCTAGTCTTTGAAGAACATTCAACAGTCATTCAGAAGTATGAAGCCTCAAATGCGTGAAATTCTTTTATGTATATAGAAAATTGAGTTGAATAACGTGGAGCATTATGTTTTGATATTTGTGTAAGTGAGGGAATGTATTTATAATTGAAACTCTGAATATTTAGACATTTTCCAGATAGTTGTACCGAGTTGAAAAAAGTAACTTTACCACAGATATTTTCAATTTTGATGAAATGCATTGTCTTGAAAATGGCCCTACTGGGGAATTTGGGAAATTTCACTTCGTTTAAGGAATGGTATGTAGTCATACCAATAAGATGTCAGGGCCGGAGTAATCGAATTCAGCTTTAACAAAAATATTTAGGAAATTATTGACTGATGTTGAAATGTTTCTTGCACTAATTACTTTTGTATCAATAAATCATTTGAAATGACTGATTCTTAGAGAGATTCAAATGTATTCAATGAACCAGACATATCTGTCAGCACGCTACTATTCAAGGAACTTTTGATAATACAGCTATTAATCAAGGACCTTTAGAAACTGCAGCTACTATTCAAGGACCTTTAGAGCAGTGGTCGCCAACCTCTTCAATGTGTTGAGCTACTTTGTTAATTTTGGAATGAACAGCGAGCTACCCACACGGAAGCCACGTAACGCAACGTAAATGAAATAATACACAGTTAATTCATCATTATATGTATTTATTTTACTATCTAACTGGTAATACATAATACATAGGTACTAATAATAAACTAATAACAAAATAACTAATATCACTAGTACGTACTTGTTCATAGCTACATTCCTACCTATCAAAAGAAGGTGTTTGAAAAATAAACACAAACTTTTATCCAGCCACAACGGCATGTCACGTATGATTTAAAAATAGTTAATAAAAACAACAATCATTTTGAAACTCAATGACTTCCATTTCTGTTGCAGCGATGTCTTCGCCAAAGTTCTGCATAACACAAGTTGCAAACTGTTGGATATCAATTTCCATAAAGGGTGAAACAACAAATTGCGCTACTAAAGCCATTTCATTGAAATCCTTAAAACGATTTTTGAAGTTGAAGTTGAAGATATTTGTTGTCATAGGGTTCTAATGGATTTTGAGATATTTTTTCTGAAAGAATAGGAAAATGCTTGGCATCGCTGTTAATTAGGTTTTGTTCCCAAAACTGCAGCTTTTTGATAGATGCTTTTATATCAGAAATCATTTCCGCTAGTTCTTTGTCTCTCCCCTGAAGCTGCAAATTAAGTTCGTTTAATTTCTCTGTGATGTTCACGAGAAAACCAAAATCTCTAAGCCAGATTGAATTTTCTAGTTCCGGAGTCGGTTCATCGCGTTGTTTGAAAAATTGAACTATGCCAGATAGGACATCATTAAAACGTTTCAGCACCCGTCCTCTATTTAACCATCGAACTTCAGAGTGAAGGAGTAGGTCCCCGTATCGACAGTCAACTTCAACGGCCAAGGTTCTAAATAATCTTCTTTGCAACGCCACCAG